AAATGCAATAAGTAAAAAAATATGTATTATTTTATCAAACATTTATATTTATAAAATAGTTTATAGATGCCATTGTTTTCAAAATGCTGTTTAGTAATACGATTAAAAAGAAATACAAATGATTGTCAAAAACAAATGATAATGATAGTAATAATAATAATCCCAGCTGTAGTTACATACAAATATATAAATAAATCACAGACCTAGTTGCTGACACAAACAAAGGGCGAAGTTCAACTCAGTTATCACAAGTGCTACTGAGTTGTTCTTCCAAATAAAATTTGTTAAAAAAAAATTAGGAAAAATGTACATTAATAAGGAGTACGTTCACCTCTGTCTCTTAGAAGTTCGGCACAACGACAAGGCATGCTTTCCACCAAATTTCTAATTATTTGTTATGGTAACTGCTCGTAAATCGTCAAAAAAGCATCTGCAACTTGGTTCAGATTTTGGAAGGGTTGATGATCCTTCAAACGTCTTTTCAGTTCATCCCAGAGCTGCTCAATAGGATTTAAATCCGGACTATTAGCTGGCCATCTCATGACATTAATATTGTGCTCCTGTAGGAAATTTCTCACGAGCCTGGCTACGTGTGTCCTGGCATTATCTTGTTGTAAAATGAACCCAGCGCCCATATTTTGGGTAAATAAGACGACATGAGGTACCAATATCTCCTCTATGTAACGGACAGCCGTTAAAGTCCCTTCCCGAAATACCACAAGGTCCGTGTGTCCTGTCAAAGTTATACCAGCCCATACCAATATCGATCCACCTCCCAATGAAATAATTCCTTGCACACAGTCATCCAAATAGCGTTCACCGGGACGTCTCCATACCCGAACACGTCCGTCATTGTTGAATGACATGAACATGAATTTTTTTTCATCTGCAAACATTACATTGGTCCACTGCTCTAAATTCCAATTCAGATGCTCTTGACAAAAGTTTCTACGACTTCCTCGATGAGCTGGAGGTAATCTAGGGGATCTGGCAGGTCCTCTTGCATGGAGTTGTACTTCGTGAAGTCGGTTTCGTATCGATTGGTTCGAAATTCGCGTTCCCGTAACTTCTATAAGGCGATTTTGAAGTCTAGAAGACTGCAAAATCGGTGCGACCCCTAGTTGCCCAAAGTCGTAACAAACGATCTTCTCTGTGGGTTGTTGCCTTTTGTCGATTGGGAAAAGGGGCTCTTTTTACTATGCCGTGAATTTGGTAGCGATTCCAAGCTCTGGAAACTGCAGCATTTGGGCTACACGACGCCTTGAATACCCTACTTCGATCAATGCTACTGCTCTAGCAAGTTGAAATTCGTTGAGGTACACTCTACTATCCTCCTTCTACCCAATACATCAACATTCATTGTTTAGATTTCAAAATTCAATGCCTATCACGAACTAAAGTAAAGTGAAACCCAATACAGAATTTTTCATATCAATGATTTTGTAGTTGAAAGTAGAAAAAGAAGTGAAAAAAGTAAACAACAACCGAATGGAGTACACACCAGAAGTTTTTATCATGAAATAATACATATTCTTTTACTTATTTGATTTTAAGGATGTGTCTCTATATTCTTTTTGAGTAGTTCATTTATTATTTTCAAGAATATATGGCAGTTAATAACATAACCTCCTTTTAACATGAGGGTTTTGATACCATGGCGTAATTAAAGAATCCCACATCATTTATAGACATACACTGTCTCAGCTCAGATAGATACTACTCAATATGAATATTTACATATATTTTAGGTATTCGGAGTGATACACAACACGTGTTGTCGGTTCACAAACACTCGAATGAATATCGTGAAAATCACATTTCATGTAATGCATTTTGTATCTCACTTTGAAACCAAATTATTTCAGGGGAATTGAAGACGATGTCTTGAAACCAGCCAGTATAAAAGTTACCATGTCTCAACACGACTTGACCCATAAAAATACCGATGCTTATCAAATGGACGTGAAAACCATCACCATTCATCCAGGGTATATTTGCACTAGACCGAAGGATGATATAGCTTTATTGGAGTTACAGAACACTATTCACTGGTCTGAAAGTGTTCTTCCTGCATGTCTTCCAGTTGCAGCTAGCCAGAGAGATTCTGAAAATATTCTGGCAACAGTTGCAGGATGGGGTTGGACAAATGAGGACAGTTCCAAAGGTAAGTACTCTCTCACATCACATTGTGTCTATCATAAGTACGATTTAATCGAACAGTATTTTTTAAATGTAGGGAAAACGAAAGAAACTGAAGGTTCCAAAGTTTTGAGTATAGGAGCTTTCTAGCTCGTTTCTCCCTCATTTATTTTCTGAAATGAATTTTAGCAGCGCTGTCACCAGATGCAGATTTCTCCGCATCAAATTTTGAATATTAAGGCAGGTCCGAAAAAGCTGTACAGTTCGTGCCGATCGCACGAAGGCCGGTCTTTTTTAAATCTGATCATTTGGTATACTTACTTATATTCTCTCTCATTGTGTGGTTCCAGAACAGAATCTTAATTGAAATGCTTTTCACTCACTATTCTCTTCTCGATAGATGGACAAAAGGTCTCTTATTTGTTTGTGTTCTCTTAACTTCATATTACTCTACTAGGATGGTATTTCAGTCCAAGAGAAAATGAAAGTCCAAAGTTTCAAATATAAAGTATAATAAGTAGAATACGACTCTATGGACAAAATAATAAAAAAACAACGTGTAAAATCTTATATAAAAAATGTTGAATTGCAATAAAACAAGAGAAAATAGAACAAATAATTCGCCGCAAATATTTACTGTGCTATTCACTATTAAATTCAAACTCTTAAACAACTATAAACATACCAACTCGGTACAAAATACTTTTAGTTTTACTTTTACTTCAGGGAGAGTGGTGTATAACTTCAAATTTTCACCATTTTTTTTGTAATTGTACTCTAGCTTAACTATCAGAACTAGGAACCCCACAACATGTAACCTCTTTGTAAATAGGAAGTGGACTCAGATAAAATATTATGTGAACTCTCTCTAAATATCAACTGGTTAGTAGAAAAAAATAACAAACACTTACATAACGCCTCTTTGTGTGGTTCGTGGTCAACCATAGGTTTCGTTGACCCGGTGCGTCTTCTACACCAACACTTTTAATTTAAACTCCCCTGTATCCCATACCGGCCTAAGATTTCACTATCGTTTTTACTTAAATTTCGCCCCACGCGCTTACAAACAAAATATCTCCCCTATTTAGGCCACCTCCCTCAGCCTCAAAGGCTGAGGGATGAGACCCCCGATCTCGTCTCGACGAGATCCGGTGACCGACCTTTTCTGTCTGTCTCGTAAGAAACTCCCAAGCTCTCGCGTCAGCTACGCTATCCACAAAAACCTCATATCAGCGTTTTTTCAACCTTCCCAAGTGTATGATCATCGGCAGGTTGCAATACATTTATTTGTTTAGTCTAAGTAAATTTTAACATGACCAGTTTTCAACTGGAAAAATATCGACACCGAAGAACGGGTGATCGATCTCGATCTCGAATAAAATGGTATTTCATGGTACTATCGCAATGGCAGTTATTACAATATCAAATACAAATGAGGTTCCCCAAGATGATCAAATGCAAAGCCAAGCTTTGACATCGACCGTCGACGAGAATTTTCCTCTACCTTTCATTGCTGTTCTGTGAGAAGAGATGGCATCGTGATTCATTGCTAGATACCGCAATTGGAATCTGCCATATGTGCCAGTAGTTAGGTTAGGTTGAGTTAGGTTAGTGAGTGGGTCTATTCGACTCTCCACCGCAACTCGCAAGGGTTTATTGTAGCTCACAGCTATTCAAACTCGACCAAATAAACCCAGCTTCTTAACGAAGCCGATTAGTTTGTATGGTGAGCAGGGCCGTAGCGAAAAGAAAAACCAGGAGGAGGGAGGGAATCCAAATTTTCCCAACCCCACCAGCAAAATTTCCCAACTTTCGAAGAAATGGAAGCCAAGAGATTAGTTACTACTATAATATATTAATTTTCTTACTTAGCTATCCAAAGATGGGCTGAATGATTATGCCCGTTAGGGTATGCACAAACAAAAATAAATTTTGTTGATTATAAAAATAATAAAGGGAATTATTCTACTTTGGACCCTAAGGTCCTTGGTCTTTCACCATATCCACAATGTATAGGAATATTCAATACTTTATGAAAGGAAACAACACTTAAATAATATTGTGCTTATTGTTTTCTACTATTATTTTTTTTATCGTCACGGTCCGAATTTTCCCAACTTTTCCAAGTCGAATAAACAGCGAAAAGTTGGGAATTTTGTAAAATTGTCACTTCAAAATTTGTGGACTGTTCAGGACTGTTTTCTTATTTGGGAGAAATTTAACTTTTTTGAAGATTTCAAACAACTCAGAATTCTCTTCAAGTCATGCATGTTGGGAAATCCCAACCTTCTCCTGGTTCTTTCCCTTTTCTTATTACCTCTCCTTTCCTTTTCTCTCATTTCAATTTTTTAAATTCTTATTCATTTTTTTACTATTATTTATTGCTATCTTCATGGCCCAAAATTTCCCAACTTTTACCTATTCTTTAGGTTCAGTTATTGGATCAGGATTTGGAGAGTTGAGAAGCTCTCGCTCCTGATCCAAATCTACAGAGAGGTCAGTTGAAGTCATAAGCTCGACATCCATCTCCTCTGTAGGCTCAGCGTCAGAAAGAATTTTTAAGTTTAGCTAGGGATAGAATGTCAATCACGGCAGAGCCCCGCATTACCGTGAAGCAGGTATCCGTTGGCCGTTGTCAAGGTGTTCGACAAGAACACGTTGATTGGACAGCAGTCCAACTACTGTTGTAATGAAACACGTATTGAAAATTAGGTATCCATTGTGAAAATTATTGTCACAAATCGAAAGCTAAATTATTATTGATGGTTACTTTTTCAATAAAATACCTACTCTGAGGGTTATTTGCATCATTTTTGGAGCAGATGGTATATAGAACGCATATCCAAATTTTCATGAACATTGGTGCTATTCGGAATGGTCATGGACTGGATGTATTTCAACAACGCCCGGCTCAAATACGCGGTCTGTTCAAAAAATACAGTGAATGTTCAAGTTTCTTAGGCTACGTACATTCGAATAGATATCTTTTTTTATGTTGGTACATTCGTCTTGAACCTGAGTTCACAATTTCAGGTGTTTGTCATGTTTGGTTTGTTGGTGAGAGGCATGAAAGTTAGAAATATTTTGCGAGTTCGATGATTTTTTGCTATCGAAAACAATGGACCAAAGAATTTGCATAAAATTTTGTGTACAAAGTAGACTTAGGTCCTCAAAAACACCTAAAATGTTGACAGTGGCATAAGGTGATTGTACTTCGAGTCAGAAAAATGTTTACAAGTGGTACTAGCTTTTCACAGAAGGTCGAGAAGGTGTAAATGACGATGCTCGTTCTGGACGCTCCATCCCGATGAACATGTTGAGGAATTTGCCCAGGAATTGTTGAATGACGATTTTCTTGGACGAGTCATAATTAGGGATGATTCATGGTTATGAAATCTTCCCAAATCTTACAGAAGGAAGAGTCCAGGAGAGCCACTTTTTTTCTCCGGGTACTGTGGCGTAATGCATCAAGACTTCTTGTCATACGATCGAACAGTCAATAAGATGTATTATCTTTACGTTATGCGACTCTTGTGAGAAGCAATGCGAAAAAATCGTCTGGTATTGTGGAGAAACAATAGCTTTTGTATCATGATAAAACACCTGCTAACTCTTCACTGCTTGTTCGTATTTTTTTGGACAGAAACAACACCATAACCATTCTCCAGCAACTGTATTCACCAGATTTGGCCTCCTTAGACTTTTCCACAAGATTCAATAGTCTGTCAAAACTACGGCGTTTTGTGACTACCTTGGCGAGGACTAAATAGAAATTGAGGAATAAATAAATACTCTTTGAGAATATTTAAACTCACCTAAGTTTCTCACCAGACCTCGTAGTCATAATGGATATTTTGTTAGCAGGCTATAAATTGATTAAAAATAACTGAAAGCTGGTTTTGTAAAGGTTTTGATTTCGAACTTTCCAAAACGGGTAGGACTGTTTGACTTTGTGAAGATGATACGTGCTTTCTAAGAAATGCCACTCTTCAATAAGCTTGCTAATTCTGAAATTCGTTATTTCGTACATTCAAATTTGAATGAAAGTGTTCAGAATAGTAGGTACTGTTTTTTTCCAGAATGTCTGAGTTGAGAAAGAATTCATTTTAGTTTTCACGTATAAAATGTCACCTAACCTCATTAAATAAACGATAGAAATTTCCACTTCATGGATAAACTTTAGCCAAGGACCTCGTGGCATACTCTCATGACATCCAGAAGGACCACTGACTTCTAAATTCTTATCTCTTCAGTGAAAACAAGTTTTTCGTGATCTACACAAAAGCCTTGCTTCGGTACACAAAACGTTGTACTATCACAAACTTTTATTCAGCGTTCGTTCGAAAAGTGCCATACAAACACTGAATATTACTGGAGTTTTTTCCCAACACCAAATCGTTATTTTTAACACCTCGACACGTGTTTAGATCACCAAGTGATCATCTTCAAAGAGGAAGATTAAAACTGCTGCGGATATTGAACATGCAGAAATGGAAATTTAGGAAGAATATGACACAGCATGAGAAATACCACTTTCGGAACTTCTGAGAAGAAATCCCGAAATAAAACGCAAACATTTAGTAGGAAAACGGACGAAATCATCCCAGGCTGCTGTGATGTGGGATTAATTGCAAACTGTTGACAAACGTCTCCCATTTGTGTAACCAAGTGGAATTCCTTATTTTGTGACAGATTTGAATGGCCCAACTCCCGGAAAATTGTTTGAATTCTTCATGACAACAAACGTAGTTGAACACATTGTATTCCAAACTAATTTGTATGCCCAACAAATACAGAGTTTTAATCTTCCTCTTTGAAGATGATCACTTGGTGATCGAAACACGTGTCGAGGTGTTGAAAATAACGACTTGGTGTTGGGAAAAAACTCCGGTAATATTCATTTACAGCAACGACTGGATAGACTTTATTTTCCAACCAATAATACGGAAATCAGGAACTACCTAGGAATAAATATTCTAATGGGAATAAAAGTTCTCCCTAGTTATAGGGACTATTAGAGCAGCGCTCCAGATACTCACGATTCTTATATCAGCCAACTTATGAATGTTAATCGTTTCAGTTGGTTATTAAGTAATTTGCATCTGAATGATAATCAGATGATGCCAATAAAAAGGGAAAATGGTTTCGACAAATTATATAATCTGAAACCATTTTTAGATATGCTTTTAATCAATTTTGAAAATTGTTTTTTACTATCTGAGCAAAAAAAATTACGATTTGGTGTTGGGAAAAAAACTCCAGTAATATTCATTACTACACCAAAGGTTCCAAACAGTGCATCATAAATACAAACACAGTTCAAAAAAATTGTTACCTTGTTATCTGCACAATAGAGATTTTTAGAATCATTTGAAGTAACAATTTATGTTTGATTTATGTTTGGCTTTCATTCTGGGATCCAATTGAAGGTTGTATCAGCCGAATAATATAATTCACAGAATTTCATAGAAACGAGATTGTTTCATTCAAGAAATGGAGTAGTTTTAATCATAGAGTATGATTCCATGTATTTTCTCAATGTTATTTGAGGTGACACTCAATAATTGAAAAGATCGAATACCAGAGGAAACTGGTGATAAATGTCCTCGAAACTCATTTGCTTCCCAAATCACCAAGTAAATAATGTATAGATGATGATGGAATTGACTTTTTTAATTAGCAGCCTCTATTTAAATGAAATGTTTTTCTAGCACTATCTAAACATACTCGATAAGACGAACTGGTTTATACTAGTATTGATAAGTAAGATAAGTGGATCGGTAATATGAAGACATGCAAATCATGTTATTGTTACTGAATGTAACAGACATTCAGAATACTGAATAATAAAACCGAATCAACACATTTTTACAGGTATTACCTAATAATTGAATCATGTGGAAATTATTTCAAATACATTTTTGCCGATATTTTTACAGATTTTTGAAATTTAAATTCATTTACAGTTCACTATGTTATGTACTACATGATTTTGGTAATTTTTAATAAGTCATGAATTGAAATAAAACTATCGTAACATAATTATAAGGTATTCTTTAGTAAATGAAATATTTTCTGATTTTATCCCAACATACTTTTCCAAATTCAAAATGAATTTTTAAATTATTTTTTTTCAAATATCCAATACATACAGAGGAAATAAAATGATCCGAATGTTTTAGATAGGTATGCGTCAACTTTCATAATGATATAAAACCAAACCAAACTATTATTACCAAACTCGATAAAAATATCTCTATGTAGGTATATCTTACAAAAAAGCTCAATGCTCTGTTCCAAATATGCATAACCATATATTCTCATGTATAATAAATAGAGAATTTGTTGATTTACAACGAAAATTTCTAAACTGAAGTCGAGATTTCCAGTTTGAAGTCGTAATTTCGACACTGAAGCCGAAATAACAAGATCAAAGTCGAAATTTTGAGTCCTTAAGTCGGTATTTTTAAGAAACGAATGTTAAAAATATATCACCCATCTGCTCTTCTGTATTAACGTAATGAAAATGATTTACATTAAACAGGGAGTATGTTAAACAGTGCCATCAATTGCAGGTGGTAGTACTTGTCTTCTTTTATGAAAAAAATTCACATGAACGTGTGTCCTAACTTGCTTCGCTACCAAGTAACGTAGTGTCACAGATTTACTACAAATATTTTTCTTTCATCAATAACTCAGAAGACTTATCGCCGATTTCAATGAAACTAGGTGAGTTTGTTCAAGGGGCTCCTTTGCATGAAATTAGATTTGGAATTTCAATTCCAGTGGCGTTGCAGAGGATTACTTGATGAAGATTTTTGGTAAAAATTATTGTGTGCCACTATTTTCGCTAAGTTTGATATTGGATTGCTGAACTAGTGTCATTGGATATTCCAATCTTGTTGAGTTTCACAGGTTATTGAATCAAAGTGGATGATTTGTATCCCCATTCTAATACACATTCACTTTCACTTCGATTCGATAATGTTCGGAAATTGAAATTATCATAAAAACCTTCTATACAAACGCTCTAAAAATGGAAAACTGCTTTTTCATTAGTGTGAAGTTACCTACAACTTTTCATCCACAGTTTATGACGAAGAACAATCGAATAGGGTTTAGAATGAGATTTGCGAACTGTGTTGCCAGATTGCAAATATTGATCATTTTACCTGTATTTTGATGTTATCATTTTAAAAATACGATATATTATTGAAACATGTCGAATAAATGAGTCAGCATTCTACATAAACTCATTATATCAGCCAACTGTCCGTATACAAGCAGTAATACCGAAAAAAATGTAGAACTATTTTTTTTCGCACCCAAGGAACGTATGGTACGCAAATCTGTTTCAGCACGTCGATAGATATACTTTCGCTGAATTAATTCTGAAATTTTTGTTAACAAACTATTTTTGATCAGTGAGAAATTTGATATTTTGTGGATGAGTCTTTCTTGGGCATTCGGTATTATTTAACGCAGGATATTTCAAATGACATACTCTTTACAAGTCATAAAATTTTTACCGAGAAACTATTTTTCCAGTTCTCATTCGCTACCTGTTTCGGTACAAATTATTTTTTCCTGAATAATATTTTACTCTTATTTTACATTTTTTTCGGTATTACTGCTTGTATACGGACAGTTGGCTGATCAAATGAGTTTACGTAGAATGCTCACTCATTCATTCGACATGTTTCAATAATATATCATGTTTTTGAAATTATAAAATCAAAATACAGGTAAAATTATTAATATTTGCAATCTGGCAACACTGTTCGCAAATCTCATTCTAAACCCTGTTCGATTGTCCTTCGTCATAAACTGTGGATGAAAAGTTGTGGGTAACTTCACACTAATTGCTTTTTCATTGTTTGATCTAGGTTATTTCGGGAGTAGGAAGCTTGCCACGGATATATAATAGATTTTCATGCGCTCGAAGATTTTGAATATGTTGCAAAGTAACATGGAACAAACAATTGTAGAAATTAATTTTTCAATTTGAGGCATTTGTATAAAAGCATGTCTTCAAACACGTTTTTTTTATCAATCAGTATCAAACTTGGAGAGAAACAGTGACGTACGAAGATTTTTATCATCAATATCAGTCAGACAACCCTCTGCGATGCCACTGGAATTAAAAATCCAAATTCGATTTCATCAAAAGGAATTATTGATAAAAGATCGATATTATTAAAATTTTGACACCTCGTTACTTAGAAAAGAAGCAAGTTAGGATACACGTTCATATGGATTTTTTATGAAATGTCAGTATTCAAGATACAGTCTGTATTGTTGTTTTTTATTATATTGTGAGTACGAAACAAGTATTCAACACTCACAGCTTCTCTCCTATCGATTATAATCAATAATGGATATCATATTGAATGATTCATATTTCAGGTGGACGTGCCAAAAATCTTCAGAAAGCTCGTGTGAATATTATCGAGACGAATCAATGCAGAACATGGTACCATTCCCAAGGAAAGAAAACTAAAATACACGACAGCCACATATGTGCTGGATATGAACAAGGAGGAATAGATGCCTGTTGGGTAATAATGGCTATCACAATTCATTCCATGAACAAATAATAATGAATTTTGCTCAGGCTAACATTTTTTTGGTATTTTCACCTTTAACAATCTGAAAAAATTAAAATTGTGATAGAGACATTCACACGAGTGTAGAAAAAGACAAACTTTCTAGTTAACCCCAATGAGTTGCTGTGTAATTCAAAGTATTTTTCATAAGCAAAAAGGTTCTATTCATCAGTAACTTGTCGTATTTGTTTGTTTTGCCAGTCAAATGAAAGCTGAGAAATTGTACAGCTACTTATCTTAACGTTTCGGAAGCTAAAACCTGCCCCCGTCTCCAAAATCTAATGTGAAGTGTGTTTTTTTTCTTTGGTTGGCTTAATTTTTAAATATTCTCGACAAATTTCTTACGAATGTAGTAGTGAAATTTTCTGACTAATCAAATAAAAAAAAATCCATTTGTTGGAAATAATATTTCAGCTACGTCGCGTCGTTTCGATTTTTGGCATCCAATTTCGTTTTTGGCTGATAACTGACCTATTTCTGACATTTATGATTTATAAATTTCTTGGGCGTTCTTCCTCTCCTCTTTCTCTTTCAGTTTTTCCAGTTCAAAACACCGAACTTTTTTTCCCGCATATTTATTATGTTGCGGATCTATACACTACTCCGAAAATGGGTTGTTGTTAAACATGTATATACCGTCTTTGAATTTTCTTTCAAAGCAGTGTACTTCTCTATGGCTAATTTCAACTTCTGATTACATGATGTTATTATGCATTGTTGTTTCCGATTTCTGAAAATGGACATTTTAGATTCATTATCTGCGTTTGGTGGCTTTATTTTCGTGACACTGATAGTTTCATTGATTTTCTTATCCTTCTTATCAATTCTTGAGAATGATTCCATTTTGAAGTGAATGAATTTCTACTAGTTTCAGAAATTTCAACCGCTCTAACAAATTGAAAACTGTTTAACTGACTATTCAGGATATTCACACGGAAGGATATTTCACAACTTATTTTTACTGCTGTCTCTGACAATGAAAATAGTTCAGTATATTTCAAATGCCATTGTGTCGATTGCATGAAATCCAGCGTCTACCAAACATACATCAGATTATCCTAGGAAACTTTATGAACTTACAGCCTTTCCTTTTACTGTTTATTGACACTGAGTGCGTTATTATTTTTGATCTGGTATTATTCATCCATTTGAAAATAGTTTCTTCTTTGTGTGACTGCTATGTGTTGAAATATTTTGATGAACTTCTGGTAAAAAGTGCTTTGAATATCATGAGCTTTTCCTGCTTGAGAGGTAGTTTTCTGACTTGTCTAGTTCTTCCAAAACGCTATAGTCCTACGGGGTTTTTGAATTTTCATTCTTATATTTTTGTGACACCCATCCCAAAATATCATTCCATGTATTAGTAGAGATCCTTTGTAGTATTCCAGTGCCTCACATTGATAGTGCACTGCTCCTATCCAATTCTCGTTATTTCAAGTCATTCATTGCTAATTACGATTTCTTCCTAAAGGCTTTCCCGCGTGTAATCCCAAATCTCTTTTCCAGTAGTCTTCATGTTTTTCATCAACTCTTCTGTAATCAAATCAGATCGTGGACAGATATCATGGACTTTTACACCCCTACAGCTGGTTCACGGCTCATGAGTAGATGGTTCGTGTTAGAAACATTCATTAGCTTCTTCGTCACCTGAATTGGTTGAGTAAGCTGGCATCCATTATAGAATCAGTCCAGTTCTGTCAGCCGATTTTTTCAGTTCTGCAGAGTATTTCCAGATCAGTCTTTATGTTAGTCATGTGTTCATTAGCTGTTGTCCCTCTACGGTTTCAACTCTCATAAGTCGCTGTGGAAATCAATCGACCAGACGTCTAGCTCGAACCATCGTTTCACATAGTGAAACCAAGCGTATCCAATCAGGTACCATGTCACATTATGAATCCCCCCATTCCGATGAGGAATTAAATTAATATTTCTTGTGGAGGCAGTTACTTATAACTTGAATGGCGATTTCCATAGGTTACTAAAAAAATTTGAAATCTGATAGACATACAAGTTCTTGTTACATCAAGGAATGATTTTTCAATCAGTCTGTTTAAATCTGTTTAAAATCTGTTTTTCCGTTAATCAGCCGTCACCCCCATATGAACGATAACTCTCAGAAGTTGAGAAACTTGTGCGAGCTAAGGACTAACGAGGTCTTACCTTTTATTGTGTGATTCTTAACACGTTCAGAATATTGACAAACATCTGCTGGTTTTTTCTAACACTCATCACGACTCTTTGAAGTGGTTACATTATATTACTATTTTTCTTTTCTAGGCCGATAGTGGTGGTCCGCTCATGGTGAATACTAACCAGCAAACAAACCAGATGATGGTAGTTGGAGTAGTTTCCACAGGAATCGGTTGCGCTCGACCTTACTTGCCAGGGTTGTACACAAGAGTGTCAGACTACATTCCATGGATTAGAGAAGTTATTGGAAACTGATCAGCGGAACAGGAATATGTGTGGATATCTTGTCAATTTATTTATTTATTTATTTATTGTTATGTTTTCAAATGTAAATTTTATTCTATAAGTACCTACATTAGGTACGATAAAAACCTCAGTTCAATGATATTCATTCAGTTGATTGTTTCAGTTCATTTAAGAATAGAATAAATTTGAAAAATTTTTTTGAAGGAATGAAATACTCTTTTCACGTATATCTATCTGTAGATATTATCTAGAATCCTCTCTTTTTCTGTTGATGCTGCACGTTATTCAATTCGCACGTACAAAAGGACAGGAGACGTTCACATCTATGATACCTTCTGTATGAATATAAGACTGAGGAGTCTGGAAGGTGAAGGTCGCCAGATATTTCAGAGATTCCAACGGCGATACCTGAGAAACCTCAGGTACACTACTAAATAAAGTCCCCATTTCACTGGCTCTCACAACGAGGAAGAGATTTCAGAAAGTAACTCTGACTCCAGTGCCATAGAAGGATTTTTGTGAATTAATTACTCTGGTTGTAAAAAAATACATTCGAATATATTCCAATTAGTTTCACCACCATCAGTTTTATAGTCTGAAACATCTTGGGAAATAATATTGACTTGGCAAAATAAAATTATCCAGTTAACTAGTTTAGTGATCCAATATTTTTTTTCTGAAAGAGGCGTTGTTTAGGTAACAGGATCAACTTTTCCTTAAAAAAAACTATTGTATTCTTGCTGACGTTTTGAATTTGATTAAATTCTTCTTCAGGGCTCTGTAAGAATGAATATTCATGAATATACCTTCCACAAAACATATACGATTATTATCGTTTCAATTTCACAAGAAATAACGAGTTCTCAATTAAATTACTCACCGAAAAGTAGTTTTTTTGTGTGGATGATATTACTATTTTAAAAACCATCAGACATATTAGATACATATTTGAAAAATAAAAATAAAAAACACTGTAACAACAAATTTACGAAACAACACAAACACAAAACGACATTAAACAAACGAATGGTTTTATCTGTGATTCTGATGAGGTGGTGTCTGTTTTTCAATCAATGGATAGTGTTAACACTATCGCATTTGAGGATATGTATATTTCACTCAGAAGTCTTTCGGATAAATATGGTTGAACATCCAGAATAGTTGGATGATCAAAATCAAAAATGTGTCCATATTCTTTTTCATGTTCAACAAGAGCTGTGGGGTTTTTCATATTCAGTTTCTTAGAGTCTCTCATGTGTTCTGAAACTCTTGTTTTGAGATACCATCCGGTTTGATCAACATAGCATTTGTGACAGCTCTTTTCAATTTGTACACTATATTGGATTGAATTTCTTGTGGTGTTTTTGTCTTTTGTTTCGATAAAAACTGCTTTCAAACTGTATTTTTATTTGAAAAAGCCACTTCTATTCCTTCTGTACTGAGTAGCATTCCGAATTTAACAGACACATTTTCTACAAATGGAATTTTGTGATTTTTGGGTTCCACCCCTGTATTTTGGGAGGAGAAACTTCTTTAATTATTTTTCTAATAAGGGCTCTAGGAAAATCATTTTTTACTAGACGATCCTAATTAATTGGACATTTTTATTATGGAATTCAGAATTGAAAATGGCAATTGCTCTTGATTTCAAATTTCTTATAATGTTGATTTTACTTTGAAAATTATGTTTCGAAAAATTATTCAAAAATCTCTCAGAAAAAGTTGGTTTATGATACCAGTCTACCTTTAAAATTCGGTTTGCATCTTCCATTTCTAGAGTAAATTTTAGTTTTGAAAAGTGTCTGATATTTCAGTTTGTTTATTTTTTGGAATGGAAGTAACAATATTGTCAACATATCTTTTGAAAAAAGGTAATGAAAATGACAACTTCTTAATGCATATATCAGCCATGACCAAGGCTGCACAAATGAGTGACATACAATTACTCATTCCCAACCCAAAAATTTGTTTGTGAAAGATCCATTGTAACAAAAATAATTGTAATCTATACAGAATTCAAAAACTTCCATGAAAACATCTAAGGGTAAAGTGGTAAAGTTTGAAATGATTCCCATTTTCTTCTAATTATACTAATCAATTGTCCGTTCACATGATTATTGGGAAATCGATTTTTGTTCATGGTATCAACAATAGTATTCGATGTTTTTTATCAGGCAGCATTGACTGCTAAGTTTGTTAGCTGCCACTTTTCAGCTGGAAAAGTTGATACTCAGTTATATTTTTTGGTAGAGGTCACTTTGTTTCATAAAATTCAAGGTATTTTTGATTTGGGCCACATCATTCAGCAAGCATTTTTGTAACGACTTGGGTATATTCAGTGTCTGTCTAAGTTGTTCGTAAACTTGACATTCGATTAGGATGTGATTGGCCGTTCCTATTCTATTGCAGATCTTGCATTCTTCTAGTCTATCACCCCGCAATAGGTATGATGGAGTAAGATGGGTATGTCCTATTTTCAAGCAGTTTGGGATCACTTCTTCACGTCGTGTCAACTTGCATAGAGTTCGTTTTGTCTACTTTGGGTTTGACAGCTTTGAGTTTTCCATTATTACTACTCTGATTCTGATTCTGATTGCCAGTTATGTTTAATCCTGATGTCTACTGTCCTTCGGAGGTTTCGGTTGTAGCTGCTGCTTGACGATCTGCGTTATCAGCTGCCTCATTCCCAGGGATTCACGCATGTGTCGGTGACCAAATAAAGTATATATTTTTTCCGTTTTCTGTTAACTAGTTGGTCGATACGATTATGTGTTCAACAAAAGGATCTCCTGAAAAAATATTCTCCATAGCCTGTAGGGAGCTCAATGAGTCTGTGCATATTATGATGCTATTTTGTTCCACTGATTCAAAGTTTGCCAGATGGCATATGATTCATCTGTGAATATATTTGAAAATATTGAGAAATATTAATTGAGTTATAACTTTCCACTCCGGATATGATTTTCACTCAAGTTGTTAAAAGACACTCATTATGACAAAATAGATTAGACAAAGCGGTAAATTGAATAATCATTACTGTAAATGAAGAAATATATGGAAAAACAGAAAATTTAATCGACAGTAGCAGTATGAAATAATGATGTACTTCAAATCGTAGTTTCCTTAGTTTTCCAGAAGTCCTGCCTCTTTTACCATACTATGAAAAACACCATTTTCATTCTCCAACAAAACATCTGGCGAATCGAATTCTATCACCATTCCTTCATCTACAACCATGATCTGCAAGAAGTATTCAGAATTGTATTTTTTCAATCTCTCAATCCTTGAAGCTAAAGTTATACAGAAATTGAGTGATTCAATGATTCAATCTACCGTGCTGATCAACAAAATTCTATCTACATTTTTCATCATTCTGAGCATGGATGATTTCAATGGAAATACATTTTTTGTTACAACTAACAGTTGAAGTGATATGAGTTTTTCATCTCGAATAATCATCGTGTAAATCATAGATACTCAAATATGTTTAGGATGATTTGTCACAAAATGTAGATACAACTTTATTGATTAGCATATCAAGATTAATCTGTTTGAAGGTGGTTGACAATGTTTCGTGGTGCAGAAGTTCGGACTTCCATTGTCTAATATGATATACATTGATTTGAAATAAAAAATTGAACTATTAACACGAGATGAAAATCAAAAAATATAAACAAGAATTGAAAAATAAAAAATTAAAAGAGATCTGACTATTTATAGGTCATTTGAGTGCTTTCACCTATCCCTCCTTCCCTCTCTCCGCTTCATCGGTTTTAGCGGAAACTGACCGTTTGGCGGGAGTTGGTCGTGTTCTGCTTGATTAGAGGTTTCCATATGTTGCGTATCTCTACGCTAGCTTGGCTAAATGCGTATTTGGACAACATATATGCGGCTTCTTTGACTTTTCTCCTGAACCAGTCTTCCTCCTTGTGTATGATTTCAGCTTGACCACACTTGATGTTATGTGGAAGAGTCCAAACATTCTCTGCTATTCCCGATTTGCTGGTTTCTCCTCGGTGTGTGTGTTTTTTGTGTTTGGCAATGCGAACTTTCAATGGCCTCTTAGTTTCACCGATGTATGCTCCTCCGCACTCGCAGGGTATCCGGTAAATGCAATTCCTGAAATCGCAGTCCACGTTTGATGGCCTGGTTTTCGTGAGGTTACTACGGATAGTGTTCCCAGAATCTGAAGCAGGTTCTGATGTTATACTTGGACCAATCCTTCTTATCCTTACCGACAATCCTCTGATGTAGGGAAATACAACTATTGGTTTTGGCGGCTTCTCTTCCACAAGGAAGAGAAGCCGCCTTGCTGTCTTCTAGCTAAAGCCTGTTTCACCATTACCATGGAGTAGCCATTCCGTTGAAGGTCATTTTTAATGATACCCAGTTCCTTCTCGAGACCTTCCTTTGTGTTACAGAGTCCAAAACCACGGTCTAGTAGAGTCTTAATGATTCCTCTCTTGGTCGATTGATAGTGGTTGGATTCCTGGTTCAGATACTGTCCTGTGTGAGTGGGTTTTCGATATACAGATGTTTCCCATTTAGTGTCGATTCTCTTCACCAATACGTCTAAGAATGGCAATTCGTTGTAGACTTTCTTCTGCATTATGAAAGTGCTGGAAGGACTTATGTTGTTGATGTGCTTCAGGAAGGTGTCTAGTACTTCATCCCCATGGTATCAATTCATATCATATTAGACAAAGGAAGTCCGAAATAATGAGATGCATGAATGATCTGTTTACGTAAATATATAGTTTCTGGATACATGACGAACGTAAATAATCCAATTTTTTGAGGCAAGATACAAAAGACGGACAATATTTACTTGAGAAGGTATTATTTTCAGTACTTTTTCATGAGCAAAAACAACAGTGTTGCATCATTCGTCAACGAAGGGCTATACTATGCTGCAGTCTTTTTGCAGACCTCAAAAGTATCACGAAGCTCCTTTGTATTACGACCAATCGGAAAGTTTCCATTGATACCAGTGTGGAAGAGCATTTCAGTATCTAATTATCGAAATTGAAAATACCTGCGAACCTATCAGTTTGTAGGCAGGTTAGCTGTCCTTTTTTATCTTTCACTGACTGAACCACTATTTTTGACGAGTGCATTGGCTTGGGATTTAGGAGTTTAGCAAACCGGCCATCGGATACCTGCTTCCACGTAGCCCCGCTGGATACGGGAATGACAGAATCACTTGTGGTTTTGTTATTCCCTAACTGAATGGCATCCCGAAGATGGCCTAATCCGAATGTGTGTGTATCCGTGCCGATAGGATGAATGACACTGAGTCTATCAGCTGTCTCTACGGAATATTCGAAATACTGGGCGCCCTTTCGTCGTAGCATCGCCTTGTCACGGTAATGCGGGGCTCTGCTATGATTGACCTCCTTTCCCTTGCTACTCGTGGGACTTTAATGGACAGAGTAAACTTTAAAATTCTTTCTGACGCTGAATTTACAGAGGTGATGGATGTCGAGCTTATGGCTGCAAATGACCTCCCTGTAAATTTAGATCAGGATCGAGTCTGCAGAGGAGGTAGATGTCGAGCTTACGACTACAACTGACCTCCCTGTAAATTCAGATCAGGAGGGAGAGCTTCTCAACTCTTCAACTCCTGATTCAATAACTGAACCTGAAAGAAAGGTTTGGTGGTGCAGCCAGGAAACGACTGAGTTGTCTCCTCAAGAGCGAAGTACTTCATAAAACAGCCTTGCACCAAATTCTTGAGCGACGTACGCAAAATCTGTCTCAGGTGGAGAAACAAACCCCATATGAGCAGGTTACCAAACGTTTGTGCTCAAGTGATGATTCACCAAAACCAGATGCGAAAAAGCCCTACACGGTTGAATATAAGGCATCATCAGGTCTAGTTGACGTGCAAAAACCCTCATATGGGAAGGTTGTCGTAGGTATCAAGGTGGGAATCTTGCACCTTGACTATCCGACTACTTCATTAACGATGAAACAACCAAGCATATACGTTGTTTCTGCCCCGCTGGGGACCGAATCAAGTCTTTAGAGTTCGGCAGAACCGTACTCTAACCATCTGACCTGAAAGACCACTCACCATACAAACTCATCGGCTTCGTTAAGAAGCTGGGTTCATTTGGTCCAGTGTGAATAGGTGTGAACCACAATGAACCCTTGCCAGTTGTGGTGGGGGTTCAAATAAACCCACTCACTTTGGACCTAACCTAACTTATCAGTTTGTATCGTAACACATACTCACCCGATCTGAATCCATAACGGTATTCAACCTGTGGGCAATACTCAAAATGGTGCAGTCAGCAAATTCTCTCCTGATCGCGGCTTGAACATTTCGACACGTCTCTGAATCCACACTGGCGGTCGCTTCATCTAAAACGATGATTTTATTTTTCCTGATCAGGGCTCTCGCTAGACATATGAGCTGCTTTTGACCAAAACTGTAGTTGAGACCGTTCTCTGTGATTCTCTCACCCAAATTTTTGACGAAGTGAGTGGCACCCACTGCGTTCAGAGCTTTCCAGATGGACTCGTCGGAATATTCTTCAGCAGGATCTATGTTTGAACGCAGGACACCTGAAAATATTGGAAAAAACTTCAAGAACAGAGAGATCACAAGCTAATAGAGCACAGCAAATATGCCAGATATCAGAAACTAAAAATATGTACCAAATGAATATAAAAAATTGAAGATATTCTCTTTTACTTGGTTTAGAAGACACCGAAGGGTATATCAAAGAATGTAAACATTTCCGAATCAAGACAATTGAAAAACTCTTCCAACACTCTTGTTAATGAATTAATATAACAGAGTCCGTTCAAAGAACCATGGAAAAATGGACCAATAAAATTCTGCCTCTAAATAGACCACACCAAACATCAATACTAAATCGTCTTTGCCGATTGTGGGGATGGACTGGAAATAGATTATGTCCACTGCTTGTAAATGTGAAAACATAATGAGATCTGACATCAATCAAAATGGAAATATTTCATTACTCACCTGAGAATAAAATTGGATCCTGTGGTATTATAGAAATGTTTGACCTCAAGAACTCCAAAGACAGTGTTTTGATATCCACACCATCTACAACAATACTGCCCTCTGTCTGATACAGTCTGAATAAACTTGAAATAATTGAAGACTTTCCCGCCCCCGTTCTACCAACAATGCCAATTCTCTCTTTGGGCTGGACAACGAAACTCATAGACTTCAAGACATGTTGATTCGTTAGGCTGTAGGTGAGTGACAGGTCCCGATACTCAATTGAACCTTCGCTCGGCCAGTTTTCTTTAATATTTCCACCATCTAAAGATTCCCTTGCTATGTCTGTGTATTCAAGAATTCTCTCTGTGGCTGTCATATTGTTTTCAAGATCAGCGTATTTTCTCAGTGACCACTGAATAAGTGATGCCATTCCAAATGCTAGGTTAATCGCCATTCCAACATCTCCGGCCTTTGTACCTGTAGAAGTCGAAATATAAGAATCACCATATTCATGAATTCAAACACACCATCAGTTGCAAAGAGGTAATTATTTTTTCAAATCAGGTGGTTAATTTGATCAAAAGTCACACATTAACGCTCTCAATTTCGTAATTGAACATTTTTGGAATTGGTTCTCAATCGTATAGACCAGATAATTGTGCTAACAAAATTCTGGCAGAGGTGAAAGAAATGCTTAAATACTTCAATTTTTACCTTTGCTTGACCATTTACTGGCCTATCTACTGTTCTGAAAAAGTTATGAAATAACATTCACAACCTCATTTGAATATTTGAAAAGGGGCCCGTTGGGAGAAAAGTCAATACACTGAAACTTTTGCAAAGCCCACTACCGAAAATTGAACTAGGTTTGTTGATGCTCACAACAGCTGCAAACTTAGAATAAATTGATGCAGATAACTTCAGAATCAGAGAGTTAGGGATAAACTGTTTGCCAATTATAGATCCTCCTGGTCGGTAGCTAAAGCTGTTGATCAAAACTTCACAAAATCCACAATTCCACTACCAACACAAGTGGATGGTTCAATTGTAACAACAGACAGAAAAAGCAAATCTACTAGCTGAACAATTTGTAACCGCCCCACAATCGATTTTGTAGAAAAGGGTCGGTCGGTAGCCAAGGGTGCTTTGTGGGTGCTTTGTCCATTCACTGGAATTGACCGCCGTGTTGGTCGGTGATGTGTTTTCTACAAGTGGCATCTCGATGAACATTTCTCGTATTATTCAACCATTAACGATGGTGTTTCCCAGGGATCCATATTGACTACAATCCTCTTTTCATTGTATATCAACAACTCATTTAGAAAACCAAAAAAATCAATATTTTGTTTTGCTGACGACAGCACTTGTGTCGTAATTCTATTTGGATTCCAGGACATTGGTTGAGGATGCACATCTTTACCGGCAGCAGGGGGTTGCATCTTAATGAGGATCTCGAAGTCATTTCGAATTGCGGTAAAAGTAACCAAGTTTAGTTCAATGCTACAAAAATCCAGGCATCGGTTTTCTCCAAAAAGATAAATGTCCCAAACTGGATATAATAATGTCAGGACAGACAATTCCGTTTGCGCTTGTGGGGGTTAAAATGGACACCAATATGTCTTGGCACAATCATGTCGCTGAAATTGTGAAGGCTGCTTTCCAAAAGCTTGGAACACTGTTCCGAACCAGAATACTGAACACACCTCAGCAATTTTTGATGCTTTATAAAACTCAGATCAGACCTACTTTTAAGTATTGTTCTCATGTATGGAGTTTCGCCACTAAGCTACTGTAGCTGTACTGTAGCCCTCTATCTACTGTATTCCATCCAGAAAAGAGCCATCCGCCTGATTCGAGACACGAAAATCACTTGCAACTTCGATAGTCTGGAACTTCGAAGAATGGTTGGAGATTTGTCTCTCTTACTTGGGAAGTGTTCAAATTACTTGGCATACTTTATTTCACCAAGAGCGGTACATATCACAATTACGCGACAAAGTGTGACTGCTCATCGTTTTGAGGTTCAACTCAATACACCTCAAACTTCACTATTCATGGAATCTTCCACTTGGAGAACCGCGTTTTTGTTGATGTATCCTCCTGAGAATGTTTTTCTAAATGGATTCAATCTCCAGCGATTCAAATCAAATGTGAATCGCTACTTTCCTCAGGCACCGCTCTCAAAGCGCCTCAGTGACTTTTCTAGGGTGCTTGTGTTTTGTCCTTGAAACATACTGAGTCGTCAAAGAAAAGTTTCTGACACACGTTACGTCATTTTGCAGGTCACAGAGCTTCTGCTTGGACCATCAACTCCAGAGAGACCTTTGGTCATATATCAAAGTGGTAAGAAACTCTTCACCAGTACGATTTCAAGATAGTACACCTTAGTGGTCAAACGCATAACAACATGAACCCAGAAGACCAAGTTTCTACTAGTCACGCAAACGTTGCCAAATTCTGGTAAGGAAGGAAGTCACTCAAGATAATTCACGTCAGATGAAAGATAGTGATTCAAAGCAGGTTGGAACGTGTCTTACCAAATGCATTGGATCTGTTGGCAACAAGTCTCCGAATATAGTGCAACTGCCAAGACTTATTGGGCTCATTAGAATTCTACAGTATTAAGTAATGCCCAGTTTTAGATAAAGAGTGAAATTGAACTGGAATAACTGAAGGATCAACTATCGTCATGATGATTCAAAGGAAGGTATAACCATTATCACTTGTTTTTTTTTCGTAGAGGTATTAGGTACCTATAATAAAACAACGTTTCTGTGCAAGAACAAGAGAACAACTTAGCTTTTGTTATTGCATCTTCTGCATCTGTTGGAGTACCTGGGGCACCATCAGGTTCAGATTTCATGCATCTAACATTCCCTCTATAAGGAATTTTTTTGCTGCGAAACGCCATTCGCTGTAATTTTCGCGTCCTTTCAAGTTTGGTACACTAATGAGATAGTTCAAACTGGACGCCATTACTGATGCCAGACGACACACCAATGCCTAATGCCTATGCACCAATAGCAATTTTGTGATGTATTCGTTTGGTTTGGGTGCTCAAAAATGTACACACAAAACTTCAGAACGAAATATTGAAAATTGACTTTCATTTCGTCCGAAACGTGCTTTACGGCACAAGTAGTTATTTCCCGGCCGGCGTCTGCCAGATTCTTCTGTGGAGAGACATTATGGAAAGTTCTAAAATTCCATTACAGAATATTTATTTCTTGATACTGATGTATCTCTCTTCGATTCAGTCATCAGACTTATTTTAGTTTATAACAGTGAACTATTCGCTAAACTATACGCTGAACTTGTTTTTTTTTAAGTTTTAGTATGGAGGCATAACACTTTGTTCGTTCCTCTATCACTAATAGAAAGCAATGTGTTGTGATAAAGGGTAGTCAGTCTGAATATATGAGTGACGTCATGGAGCCCAGCAAGGTTCAATTCTCGCCCCACTACTCTTCTTCATCTACACATCTGACTTCTCCAATGTTCTGAAAAACGTCTGTTACAATTCAAAACTTACCTCTGCTGAAAAAAGCAAATTTGATTATCACAAAAATCGGGAATATGGAGCTGATCAAGGATGCATATAGACCTAACGCTCTCATCATTGAATTCATCGAATAATTAGCCGATGTGAAATGATCCTGATGTTTATCAAATTCTTCCGTCAGGATTGACTGGTTTCCGAAAGCTCGTACTGTAGTGATACCATCAAGCGTGGCATTTAGGTGACCAATCATGGGACTCCTTGCTGAAAGAGATATACATTTAAAAAACCGTACACAGAATGAACCATGGCTGGATATGTTGTTCATACTGTATTCAACACAAAAACTGTTGTATAGATTTCCATTGATTTTTTATTTGTTGGATATGTCTTCACTCGAAATATGAGAACAACTATTGGAACATTCGAAAAGCTAGGAAAGAATTGGTAGATTGACCAAATTGATGACATTCTTGTGAGAAAATAAATATTTTGGAATAAACGAAATGAATTTCGAAACATTAATCTCTTCCAACTATCTACACAGTAGGGTGTGGTAAACGTCTGTCAAAAAACAACAACTACTACATTGAGTGAACTCATACCTGTTTATTTGAATTTTGAAGTGATTCACCCTATATTCGTCTAGTTTATTATAAGCATCATAATTTTTCTCCTTGAAAGTTGAGCTGGTCGGTCTCGGTCCCCGTAAACCCGCTCGGTATATAAGAGTGAGCGCAACAGCATCACAATTATCATTATTATCATTGAATTATTATATGTGAGACAATACAAGAGTTTTGATCCACAACATAGATTTGTATGTTTGCATAAAATATTCGAGCATGAACTAAAATCTGCCCTTTGCCAAAACGAGTAATTTGAATCCCAAATCTCAGCACCTTGGCTCACATACAATATAACATCACAGAGAAGGAATTACCGCCTCGACATAGGCGTCGGCATATTATTTTTCAGTGGTAGTGTTTCAGTAACTTATTCTTATAATCATAGCAATTGATCACCCCATGAAAAAGGTATCTCGACTGAATTTTTCCACCATGTGTAATTATGAAAAACTTCGAAATTTAAGGTAGTAAGGTAGTTCTCGTCAAACATATATTTACAAAATAATAGAGGCCAAAAAAATTGCTGGAAAAATCAAAATTCTTCTTCGCTATAATCGGGTGAGGTGGAATCATCGGGTTGAATAACGATCGGATTTATGGAACTTTACACATAATATTTGTTCTCTTCTTTTATAACGTGGGCCACACAGTTCTTCCACACATCACTATTACCTACTTCATTCACTACTCGCCTTATATTGTCAAGCACTACAGCATTGAAAGTCGGTGACTGATTTCATTTCCGCAGGCTTTCTTTCATTGTGGCCCAAACCATTCCAATTGGATTGAACACACAATAGTATGGAGGCAAACGTGAGAGAATATTACCACGTGTTTCACACATCGAATCAATAATATACTCTTCTTTGAAATTACGTTGTTTTATGGTCGCCAGTAATATCTTTTTCGTTGGAATCTTTTTGGGTAATTTCATGTCATGATTTCGCATGAAATCAACAATATCTGCTTTTTTTGTGTTATTGTTTGGTATTGTAGTCAATAATCGAGAATGATACGAAGCGTTATCCATAACAATAACCGAGTTTGGAGGAATATTTGGGAGAAGCTGCTCTCTGAACCAGGTTTCGAATAAAGCCGCAGTCATATCTTCGTAGTAATCAGCTGACGAATCTTTTATATTTTTGGCCGACAGAAGCAAAGCGTTAGGTACAAAACCACTTTCATTCCCGGCATGCAAAATTATAACACGTTTTCCCCTTGAAGAAGGTGTGTTCGAAGCACAATACTTGGTTTCGTCTACTCAGCCATATTTGAAACATCATTGAAGTCAAACCAAGTTTCGTCGAGGTAGATTAAATGTCTGCTGGATTCTCGGTAGCTTTTCATTCCCCTCAAATATTCTTGTCAGAGTTGAACAATGCGTGTCGATTCCATTATGACCATCCGATTGTTCAATTTTTTATATTTGAAACCACAAGACAATAAGACACCGCGTAGAGTTTCTAAAGATTTGTAATTGTAATCGTGATAGTAGAGTAATTTATACCAAATCAAATCCAAGGTTGGTACTTCATTTTTTTGGTATATACCATAAATTGTTCGCCGAATCACATCTTTTGTAGCACCATCAACGTTTGCGAATGTTTTATTCCTTTGTTTTCGTTTCATTGCATGGTCAATGACATCCCCTATTTTGATGACTCGAAGAACTGTCGAACGAGATAGTTTCTTTAACTCGCATATTCTATTCACAATAGCATTATGTGACGTGTGACAGTTTTCCTCCTTCAAGCATTCATGAATATTTAAAATTACTCGCTGAACTTGAACATGTAAGTCCTCATTTTCAAATCCCGGATCTCTGTCGATTGACACAGATTCCGCACACGTAATGTTATCATTTGTTTCAAAAGTCTCCAGAAAGCCATATTGATGAAAGTACCCAAAAACACTAGGATTTTCACAAAAATCGGTTCAAACGATGAGATTGGAACCTTTGGTGTAAAAGTTGAAAACTTTTTCTAGAGATCAATTACCCTAACACCAAACTGATATTTTTGTACTCTACGCGCGTTTCGCTAACAAAGTTAGCATCTTCAGGAGAAGCAAATTCATACTGAATCTAAAGACAAGGGTTAACTGTTTATATACCCAAAGTTTTTTGGTCCGATGTGGACTTTGTAGGTTAAATGATGATTATCCTAATTGATTGTTCAGTAATTAACTAGTGGAACCACTACCTGCAAATTGATTTGTACGCTTTTTAATCTATTGTTGACAAATTAATTTGCAGGTAGTGGTTACACTAGTTGATTACCGAAAAATCAATTAGGATAATCATTATTCAACAAACAGTGTCCACATGGGACCAAAAAAATTTAGGTATATAAACAGCTAACCCTTGTCATTAGATTCAGTATTAATTTGCTTCTCCTGAAGATGCTAACGTTGTTAACGAAACGCGTGTCGAGTGCAAAAGTATCAGTTTGGTGTTAGGGTAGTTGATGTCTAGAAGAAGTTTTCAAAAATCGGTTTGCAAAACCACTCACTACCTCACCTAACACCACGAACACATGGCACTGATAAAGAAATATTGTGAAACGGACAAAAAATTAGTATTCAGCCAGTCCAGCTAGCCGAGCCTTTATTCCTCAGCTACATTTGATAGCACGACTACTAACTATCTGGGCGACTAGGGGCCACAGGCAAGACATGTTTATGACTGTACTTTTATTTTAATTGCCGTTCCAATTGGGAATGAATAGACTTTACTAGTGTGTAAGTTTCTTTTTGTAGGTTTGTTTTTGTTCATGAAGTTGATGATTAAAGCCGATTTATTATTATTATTTTCATTAAATCCAAAGATTCATCCAAATTCAGCAAACCCGTACCCCACATCTCAAAGTGAACGATGAACAGACGGACCACCCAGAAGCTTTCTACCTCATATTCATGGAGTTACCGACAAAGTGAGCGAATTTTTGAAGCGGCACGACATAAGAACAGTACTCCAACAATCAAATTTTCACCTTTCTACGAATACCATGTTCCACTTGCTCCACGCCACCATCTCACTGTTTAGGATGGGCTCATATTGAATCGCAATTGTGAAGAATATAAGTTTGTATGTAAAGTTAACTCACTTGAAGAATCTAATCTCTTGATGCTTCTTCCTGCCTTCAGATAATACCACTGGAATATGCTCAACACAACCAGAAGGAATCCTGCTGGTAGCAGAAAAATCCTACTAACACTTGCTGTCATTACAACTACTGCAATCATCTGAAGAGTACTCTACAAAAACAGACGAGAACAATATTTTGAGTTTTTACAATAAATACAGAAAGCATGTAGAGGGAACAATTACTATATGGAGGGAGGGGCACATTTCCGGCACATTTCAAATTCAGTGTCAGTCAGTTTTTGAATATGTGCTTTCCGAATGAATTGATTGGTAGGGGAGGACCACAAAATTGGCCAGCGAGATCACCAGATTTGACTCGCCTCGATTTTTTCCTATGAAGAGTGACGTTGCTTTTTGGGGTCAAATGTTGAATAGTTTTTCTTAGAGAGAGTGAATCTTTATATTCAACAGGATGGTCGTCATTTTGAGCACCTACTTTGAATTAAATACATTTGTATTGAAAAAATTGTATATTTTGTTTTATGAACTACTGTTAGAATATTCTTGTAAATGATAACTTTATTTTTGTGAACAGTAAATATTTTCAATGAAGTGAAGTATAACAACTCTCAGTGAGAATCCCATGAGCAAATCAAATAAATGCCAATATTTGAAAAACTATTTAGGTTAGTTATAGAGAACCCCAAAGTTGAATGAAAGATTATTGAATTTTATATTGTTAAACAATACAGTGTTTTCTATTTGAAATAACAAAGTTATCTTTATCCGAAATTATAAAGAAGTGACAATGATTAAAATTCCATAATATTGAATGTATATTTGTCGCCTTGATTGTATGCATATGTCAGCAACCGATTCAAAAATCATTTTCATTATAATATATTGTATTCCATTCATAAAAAAAGTTATATATTCAGTGAATTTTCACCCCTTCATGAAAAACATGTCATGCAGATTAGTTTTTATGTCATTTTCCATTATTTGGAAACTGATTTGGAATAAATTTCAAATGACAATATAAAAGTAAATGCGGTAATTATCAAAAATAGCAGAACAAATATTTATTTTCTAGATTGATGAAATTTGGTTCACGGTCATAAAATTTTCTAACACACAACTTTTCTGACTTTCTTCGAAATTCTGTGAAGAAATAACATTTGTTTTCGAAAAACATGTCAGTTTTGACAGATACTAACAGTAAGAGTGTTATTTTTTTGTCAAAATTCAATCACGAACCAACGCCTAAGTTCAATTTCACGTGAATCTATTTTTTGGAAAAAATCCCATATTATGGTGCCAACTTTAATGATGACACTTTACATATGTTATTGATGATATGAATAATGATGTTATCGTGAAGAGTTTTTTATATCGTCCTACTGAGATAAACTTCCTCAATTTTTTTGAAATACATTGAAAAAAATGGTAATTTATAATTCAAAAGCCTTTTCGAACCAAGTGAAACCAAAACCAAAAAAAATCTCAACACAATTGACATGATAAAACACTCTAAGCAATGTGTCATAATGTCAAAGAATCACTAAATGAAATGAAGAAAATTTATTGCTAGCTGACTCGTACTTCGAAAGTTGACAAGCTTCGAAAAGTAGAAATATTTCAGTTCTATCATTTTTTACTATAAGTATATTTTGTTATGAAATAAAAAGAAAATGTATTTCAAATTTTAAGGCTGTAATGTAGCTGTGAAATGGCATATTCTGAAAGTTTTGGGTGGGGTCTGAGTACTTCCCCTCTCCATCACATCACCTCTAAAAAGCTTACCCTCAATACTTCATAAATCGTCATTGGTATCACTTCATCAACTGTGCTCAGATCTTTGGAGAATCTGTTGATTATATTTCCGATATAATGGCCGTCAAAAAATGTCATAAACGAATTCAACACCGACTTGTTCAACGATTTGTGTAAGTTCTTCGACGCCCTCAGAGAGAAGAAAAAAGTCATGTACGTTCTGGAGAAAACGAGGACAAGAGCTACCACTTGGATAATGGAGAATAATCTCAGATAGTTATTGCGTGTTTCCAACGTTTCAGAATATTCTGAGGAATCCGTCAAATTGGCTTTGATGAAGCGTGTCACACTTGGTTCCATATTTACCCTGAAAAAAAAACGTTAAGCACAAATGGTATAAATTTGCTGATTGAATTTTAGCATAGTGATTTTTTTACCGGGCATTTTTTTCAGCATGGCAAGCAACTCCTAAAAAATCGACGTCAAATTGGTTGAATGAATTAGCAATACAACAAAATTTCTAAACTTTCTCTACAATAAATCATCTTTTCTTATAACCAATAATTTCGAAGAGCCTTCATGTGTTCTAAAAAATTACAGCTCCAGGCCAGAATGTGTTGAACTCTCCACAAAATTTGCAATTCTAAGTTGGATGGGTTAGTATTATTAGTTATTGTTCCTATGTTGAACTACTTCAGATTTTTCATGTATGTTAGTGACTATCCCCTACATTTTTTCTCAAATATTTATTTGTTTTTCATTTGTGATAACGTTCAGGATCAAATAAAGGGCTTTTTGGAATAGGACCTTTGTCGCTATTCATAGAACTCATTCCAAACTTCCACATGTAATCAAGGTTGCGGAATACGAACCAGCCCAATAAATCGTCATCATTGTCGGAAACCACTCAGAAGACCATCTTAAGAACAGAAGCCGTCCCGCCAAGGCTCTACGGTCTTCCTAAGATACACAAAAAAAAAGTTCCGTTGAGACCCATAATAATTGCACCGGGTTTGCCTACGTATTACTTGTCAAAACACCTTGCATCACTCCTCCAGCCTCATCTTGGAAGAACAACCTCGTACGTCAAAAATTCAACAGACTTTGTGGAAAAAATCAAGAATATAACCTTGGAGCCGAGTGATATTCTGGTCAGTTTTGACGTTGTGTCCTTGTTCACCAATGTCCCGCGCTGGAAGATTCTTCGAGAGAGATAGCCAACCTGTTTCCTAGTGATATTGTCGGACTCTTCAAGGCTTGCCTCACGGGAAGTTACTTTTAATGAAGGGTAGATTTATATGAGCAATTAGACGACGTAGAGATGGAACGTTCACTCAGCCCAGTGATAGCCAACTTTATCATGGAGAAATTTGAGAAGGCAATCGACGCTTTCGAGTTCAACCAGCCATTTGGCTGCGATATGTGGATGACACCTTCGTTATCTGGAGACATAGAAAGGACAGACTAAACCTATTTATAGACCACTTAAATGCTCAACACCCTAGCATCAAGTTCACCATGGAGACTGAACAGGAACAACGAGTAGCTTTTCTAGATGTACTTGTGGAAAGGCGGAGCACAAGACTGACATATAAAGTGTACCGAAAACCGACACATACGGACAGATATCAGCATGTACTTTCAAACCACCATTCAAGTCAGAAGCGGGGAATTATCAACACAGTGCCCGTAGAATATGTGAACCAGAACACCTACAAGAATAGTTGGAGCATCTTCAAGTGGCTTTAAGATTGAATGGATACAGTGTAACCGAGATCAACAAGGCCATGGAACTGAAGACTCCTACAAGTCAAAATATGGAGGAAACTCAAACGGTTGCACGTGCATTTTTACCGTACATCCCTAGGGTTATAGACAGAATCGGAAAAATCTTAAGGAAGCATAACATAAAAACAGTGTTCAAGCCCACCAGGAAAGTACAACAAAGCCTGATATCTGCAAAAGACAAAAGAGATTCACTATCAGCGAAGGGGGTATATCATGACCTGCGGAAAAGTTTATATCGGTACTACCAAAAGATCCATGGGCACAAGGCTGAATGAACATTAGAGAAACTGTAGTTGAGGTCAAATAGAGAAATCAGCAGTAGAAGAACAGGCGTTAAGTGAAGGAGATCATACGATACTGTTTGAAGATGTGAAACTACTTGCACCCGATCATGGATACCACAGTCGGCTTGTACGGGAAGCCATAGATATCCACAAATATACGGAAAACTACAACAGAAAAGAGAAGGCAATAACGCTCAACCGGATTTGGAATCCCATACTAAAAGATGATAAGGTGGCAACAGTGTAATGCAATGCAACGTCATCAACAGGTAATAACACTGCGGCCAATAGCAACGCATCAACAAGAAAGGCGGGCTACCTGAGTGAACATAAATACAACTTACGAACTAGAAATCACTTGTCATCGGTGAACCATCAAGATGAATGAATCTCTGAAGAAGCCAGCCACTCGTGCTGTCAAAAAGTCAAGATACAGTTCCAAACCACGACGGACTTAAAACCCGACTGAAGATTGTACCAATGAAAATCTCGACCGCGAAAGCCTTAACCAATTTATCATTCCAAACTTTTAGATTTCCAAGCTCACGAAGGCATCTAGAAATCTGTTGTCGTGAACCATTTTCAAAAATTTCAAACCTTTCTCACTCATTCTGAGGTCGTTCTCAATGGCGACACTAGATTTCTCTAGTCTACGAAAGCGAATATGTGAAACATGTTCCTTGTAGCGAGCTAATATAGCCCGTTTGGTTTGACCAACATATTTCTCATCACAATCCTCGCAGCTTATTTCGTTAATTCCTGACTTTTGTCTTTTCAACGTCTTGTCTTTCGAACTGCCCAACACTTGTTGAAGTATACATGCAGTTTTGAAAGCCACTCTTATATTCAAATTCATTTTATGTATTTCTGACTTACCTGATCCATAAAATAGCAATGAAGGAGAATATAAATATCTATCTATCTATATATCTACCCTATATTTCTTAGTCTATTTATTTGATTGATGGCGTCATTATTACATGGCCGAGTCCCAGTTAATTTCGAATAGTATAATTCTTCTATCAGGAGGCCTTTGGCGTTTCAAGTTAACGCAAGTTTTTCTTTTCGTTTCAATTTCTCATTTTCTAACTTTCTTTTCCTTTGTGTTGATGTTTCTTTATTTTCCATAGTGTTTCCACGAGCACCGAAGAAATATTTGTCAACCCTCCCAGAGCTTCGTTTAGCAGGGTAATAGCTAATATACAATAGGGTGCGCTGCGGTGCCCTGAGGTGGTACGTTTACGACATCATTTTACATCCTGATGCCACTTAGTCCTCGGCACGGCCTCACCTTGACTTGGGTGCTAATTTGATGAAAGATGCGCCACTTTTTTCAGCTTAGAGCTTACTCGTGCCTGACAAAACACCGTTCCGGATTTGATTTTGGAGTTTCCCTTCTCCTAGACGGGTTGCAGACCAATGCTAATGACGCCCATCTCACAAAATTACGCAAGTCATAGTATGCCTCTTGTGCTTGTTGCTCACATTGCGTGATGGACCCTCTTACTCTGGGAACTTAGAGAGGGTGGTAGATAATAATATTTTTTTACAATGCAAATAAATATGTGTTCTTACAACCTACTACACCATTTATTGTCTTCTTTTCAGAGTCGGGAAGTAGGTGTTTAAAGGTAAAAGCTTGATTTGATTTTTTTTCTAGAAATATACTTTTTTTATCGAAGCCAACCCTGGATGTGTCATCTATTCCATGGTGGGCCTACTAACTGCCTATCATAAACGAATGCGTATGAAAATTTCGTGTCCCTGCTATTTACCGCTGAGGAGATCCCTCGTACGGAGCCGATCCTGGCAGCAGCATCAGGTCACGTTTATGATTAATATGCATTGTCATCGGTTCTGGACCATCATGCAAAACTTCAGGTCAATCGGATACCGGGAAGTGGGTCAAATTGCAAGATTTGTTAACATATATATAAATCAAGATAAATAAAAGCTTTCAAAAATTAACTCGTATACGGATACGGATACGAGGGGATTCATAGGGGATACATAGGGAGATTCATAAGAGATCAACAGGAGACATGATTCACGAATATTATTGATAAACAAGGTCTAGACTAGTTCGTCTCATATATATTTCGAAATCAAATTTTTCCAGGAGACACAAAAGTGTATTGATTAGCAATACTTCTAAGAAGTTTATCAACTTCGAGCATGTTGATAAATATTCCGCCTAAAAGCTTGTATTTTTTCATCGTTTACTCATTATTTTTGTACTAGTTAGTCCAACGAAAACAACTGTCATTTGAATCGCGGTTGATATGAGTGTATAAATAAATAATAAACAGGCATGGTTTAGAATTCATTATGGTGCTTCACAATGCATTTTGAAGTAGATGAATATTGGAAAATTCCGAATTACAAAGAAAAATTACCTTTGAAAAATCTGGCAAATCCTATCCGCTCAATATGATGAATATAATTATTCTCTTGAATTATCGTTTGTATACATTTCGTCGAATTCCAAATTATATACAGGGTGTTCATTGAACATGTGGCAAAAAATTAAGGGACAATTCCTTGGACTATTCTGAGGATATTTTGTCTTGTGATGATTTTTGATAGGGCGCTTTGTTTCGAAGATACAGGGCGATGCAACAAAATGCTGTGGAGGCTCCGGAACACAAGAGACAAACAGTTCAGAGACAACCCGAACTATGCTCAGAAGAATATCATAACATTCAGCATGGAACCTATATCAACTAGTATATGTAACAAGAATTTCGGGATTGATAACATGAAAAAAAAAGCGAAAAAAACGCTTCCAAGTAGTAGAAGAAAAACGGTATAGAGGAATTTTCACAGAAAATTTCCTGCATATGCAATTGGCAATACAACTGAAAGAATCGACTTTCAATTTTGAAACGGGCACACTTGCAGACCGGTTTCAGGCTCATTAGTCACTCATCAGTGCAAGATAGTGGCCAAAATCTACATAAAGTCTATGATATTCCATAATTGGAATATTTCATTCCTCTTCCTGAGTTGGAGCGAACAACACAATGTCACTCCATCTACTGGACTAGGTACTAACCAACTTCATATCCGAAATTTGCCCTGAATAAGGAATAAGGAAGAAAAATTTTCTTATTAGTCAGTGGGCTGAGCTTGAAGACTGGCAGTAAACAAATCTAAAGAAATGAACTTTAAATGTTCAAGCCAGTCTCGAATATACCTTCACAGTAGGTTGATTCCTATGATTTCGGCACTGACGCCTGTTGGATATAATACAATGCCTTTCGTGGTATTAGCCAGGCTAGTAGTTGTTTTCTGATAGGCGTCAGTCTATTCAACCTACTGTGTAGGCATATTTGAGACTGGCTTGAACATTTAAAGGTCATTTCTTTAGATTTGTTTACTGCCAGTCTTCAAGCATAGCATATGGCAATATTCAGCTTGAATTTTTTTGAACTCTTTTCTGGAAACATTACAGAAAAATACTCACCACTGACTCAGGAGTTTTTCGCAATAAGAAGCTGCAACTTGAGCGAGAGAGAATACTAGCAGCAATGTAATTACCATGAAAATACCTCCAGCAAATCTGTAATATCTTAGATACACCGAGAAAGCCACATTTCCATTTTTCTTGGTTTCATGATAGATGTTTTTCTTATTGATTTTTGGAATCAAGAGCGGAGTCTTTTCATCGCCTTCTTCGTAAACGTCTTTCTCTGTGATTTCTTTCCCGTTAGAAATCAATTCGTCCATGGGCTTTGTTGAATCATCAGCAGGGACGCTATTTTGGAATATCGGTGGTATTTCTTTCTCAGATCTTCCATCTTTCATGAAAAGAACATTACGGCCACGTACCAACTTGATATGTTCCATATTATGAGTCACAAATAGCACGGTTTTATATTTGAGGAATTCCATGATGCAACTCTTGAAAATGTGCGTATTGACGGTAGGATCTAGATGAGTCAAACAATCGTCGATGAGATAGATGTCGCTGTCCTTGTAGACAGCCCTCGCTAAGCTAATTCTAGCCTGCTGCCCTTTGCTGAGGCTTACCCCCTTTTCTCCTACAGGTGTCTGATCTCCATCTGGAAAGTTCCCCAGATCAACTTCCAATTCGCAAACGGAAAGCACTTTGTTGTACCGTTTTATTTCGTACTCTTGGCCGAAGAGGATATTCTGTCTAATTGTCGAAGGGAAAACCCAAGGATCCTCTGCAGCATATGAGTAACTTCCAGAGACATTGATCTGTCCACTTATTATGGAGCAGTCTCCCAAAATAGTTTTCAGTAGAGACGTTTTGCCACTTCCGACACCCCCTGTTATCAAATAAAGTCCTTTTTCGACGGATAAGGACACTTTATCTAGGATTTTAGTACCATTCACCTGTACCGTTACATTGTTTAGATACACTCCAGGTTGTGCTGATAGCAAAGGTCTAGAGTGCACTTCCTCCTTACTGAGAAATGCTGATATTCTCTTGATTGCGGCGTGTACATCTGCTGACTGATGAATAAAATAGGGAACGACTGTGAGAAAGTACATTTTCACCGGAAAGAAACAGTTGTCAACGTAATACAAAGTTTCCGTGTCCATGAAATTTCCATTCCAAATATAGGTTATTAGTATAAGCAAAAATGATATTGTTGACGCTGTTCCGCTCATAATGATGACGATACATTGCAAATAGTAGATTGGAGCCAGATGTTTCAGTTCCTTTCTGTAAGACAAAGAAAAACATTTAACTTTCTACTTAATAACTCAAGTTATGAAAGAACATTGAGGAAAATGAAGGTAATGTGCGTTATGGAAATTGATTACAATCTCTTTCTGGTTGTGACGTATCGTTTGCAGGCTATTAAGCTTGTCTTATCATTATAGTAGTTATGAATAGAGAAGGTCAATAAACATCATGTAAAATGAATTATATGTATTGGTTGACGATTTTTTTGTAGAAAGTCATCTTGGGAAATTTTATTGAAAACCTTGCCCTCTGAGGTTTTGTTTTATTTTAATAGGTCTACCAAGTCTGCGTGGTATCTTTCAAAGATACTACATCGACTGAACAGTCTCGGGCCTAACACATAGATGTTGCTAGTCTAATAGCATTCAACACTTTTTCGGTTAGTACAAACCTTCAAAAGAAGGCTGTTGAAATTCCATGGTATTCTACTCATAAGTTTATGAGTTATTGTGCTAAGAGTGACACCACTTTTATTATTTTCGAAACAGTGGATCGACAGCATGGCTTGCTTTCCGATGACTAACTTTTAGAATTTCAACAGAAAAGAAGAAGCGGTGAACCTCAATCGAATATGGAACCCATTTTAAAGGAATTCGGGAATAACGAACAGAATGACAACAGGCAGCAAGATTGTTAATGTTCCAGGTTCAAGAACAGGTACAAGTACACGTACAAGTGCAGGTACAAGTACAGGTACAAATACAACTGATTACCCGACAAGGCATAAATACGCTTTACGAAGCCTAAAAGTTAGTCATCAGACAGCAAGCCATGATGGTTAAACCTCTGAAGAAGCTAGTCACCCGCGCCAGTGAAACGTCAGGAAGAAATTCCAAAAATCCACGGCTTTCCAAACTCGAAAAACAATGACACTGAAAATATCAGCTGCGAAAGTGTACATCATTTTGTTATCATCAAATAATTAGTCCTCAGTTACTTCAAGCATTTAGTGCACATTATAATTGTCAACTGAAGATAAAATCTCAAAAGTTATTGCAAAACTGAACCTGTTGCCAGGAAGAAATCAATTCAAGCAAGCTGATAAAATGGTGCGACAAGCGTGATGAAGAAAAGTTGCCATTACGTTTTTACAAAGTTAATTATTTTATAGGTTATGGTTGTGTTGTGTTGTATGTGTTGTGTTGTCCATTTCGACATTGAAATTGATAGTTGTGAACGATGTATGAGTACGTGTGCATGCTAAGAGGACTGACTTTCATACAGGGGTCCCACAAGGGTCAATTTCAGAGTAGAAATCGTTCACTTTTTACCTTTATGATATCGAAAATATTCTGCTAACAGCATGTAGTATTTGATTTCAATAAAAAGTAGATCAAAAAACACATTCATCAACTGTGTATTTTATCAAAAGCCACAACTTTCGAAGCATATGCAAAATTTATGGGTTGATTCACACACACCAAAAGGGGAAATGTTACAAGGCTGAAAATATGTCCATGAGATTCCTCCCTCAAAATAAAAAACGAACAATCCTGAGCGATTTCCTTCATACATCTCAACTATGAGGAATCCGCCCTGTTTCGTTTTCATTAGCACACTTCGAGAGGTAATAGTGAAATCATTTTTCCATTTTTCCATTTGGGTAAAAACATGAGTTTCAACAGAGTCCACATGACTGTAGAATAGAAAGAGATAATGCTAATTATACATTGGATTGTTCCTGAATTTCACTAGTTCTGACTTCCATTGTCTACTATATAGAATGATTTGAAATCCCTGAAACAAAAGTAAAAATATAACAATTGAATAAGTAAAAATGAAAGAATGAAAATAGAAAATAATAAAAAGTGTAGAGATTCCAAGTCACGTTATTGCACCTATATAGAATGATTTGAAATCCCTGAAACAGAAGTAAAAATATAACAATTGAATAAATAAAAATGAAGGAATGAAAAAAGAAAACTGAAGGACGAATTATTTACACAAGATGAGGGACTGCCAATGGGATCGCCACTTTCACCAGTCACAGCCAACATATATATGTATGGAGTGGTTTGAAACTCTGACCATTGAAGAAGCATACAAGAAACCTCAAGTCTGGTTGAGATATGTTGACGACACCTTCATAATATGGAACCATGGATCTAAGACCTTTGACCGTGTGTGACATTATGGTTTGCTGGCCAAACTTCGATGCTATGACTTGTCGGGTCATTTTCGTATATGGCACTTCAGCTTTCTGAAAGAACGTTTCCTGCAAGTGGTTGTACTTTCACCATCAACGCTGGTGTTCCACAGGGATCCATATTGTCTCCAACTCAGATCAGACCATCCTTGGAGTATTGTTCTCATGTATGTAGCTCCGCCCTCAAACATTCCTTGAAGTTGCTGGATTACATCCAGAAAAGAGCCATCCGCCTGATTGGAGACGCGAACATCACGTGCAACCTTGATAGCGTGGAACATCGAAGAAGAGTTGGAGATTTGTCTCTCTTCTATAGGTACTTCCACGAGAAGTATTCAAGTGACTTGGCATATTTGATTCCACCAAGAGCGGTACATATCAGAAATTCGCGACGGACTGTGGCTGCTCATCGTTCTGATGTTCAACTCAGTTCACCTCGACCTTTACTGTTCAAGAACTCTCTCATCTGGAGAACTGCATTTATGTGGAATAAACCTCCTTAAAAAGTTTTCTAAATGGGTTCAATCTCCAGCGATTCAAATCCAATGTGAATCACTACTTTCGCACAAGCACCGCTCTGAGAGCGCCTTGAAGATTTTCCTGTTGTGCTTATGTTTTGTCCTTGAAATAATTCTTTGGGAGAATAGAAATGCATTGGAGAACTTGACGTGCATATCTCAGTAAAAAAGTCATTCCATTCTCCAAATTATGAGAATTTCATTCCACAAATTGTGGGTAATTTTCTTTTCGTTCATCAAATTTCCAAAATTACAGATTACAAAGGTTTATGGTTTCTTTGTGCATTTTCCATCCATGAATCTTTTGAAAAAAATAATCGCATACACTCAATAAGCATTTTTCAAGTTTTCGACAAATTATAATGAAATGTTCTCTTAGTGATATTTGAAGATACGTCAATGAATTAAGGATTTTCTTCACGAAAGGCAAGAAATATCCAGGTCCGTACTAAAAAAATGTTGTTCAGGTGGTCCCAAGAACATGAAAGTTTGATTTCAAGTCTGATTCTACCATTCTGAATGAAATTTACTAGATATATTGAAAGCTCCGTAACTTTTTCCTGATATATTCACTGCAGAAACAGCTTATCGAGAAATAACAACAATAGAAACAAAAATTGATAACTAATTGAACGTCTATTATACTCACTCCCTCAGAATATTGATCTTCTTCCCAAAAAATTTTTCCCAGCAATATAATTTGATTATTTTGATTGCAGATAATGTTTCCGTGGTGATTTGGATACGTTCGTCTGTAGACTTGGCAGATTTTCTTCTCATCAAACTAGACTTTCTCCCTATATAACCTGAAATTGATCACAAACACGTTATTGAACCTCAAAACAGTATTTTCTTTGAAGAGTTGAGATATCATACGAAAGTGGCCTAAAGCGTTCCCGACCTCAACATAAAAATAGCAGCATTCGTAAATCAAAGTTCGTGAATTTCGTTGTTCATCTGTTGACAGTTACTCACCAAAGTTTCAGCAATTTGCTACTAATTTAGATGTTGCTCGGTAGGAGTCAAGAGCTTTCAACGCCGCTTGACTGTCCAAGATTATTTTTATTGAGTTGTGTATGAAGTTGGATTCTTCAATAGCTTAAATTTTCGCTTGAAAAACAGTCGCATAGGTTCCTATGCAGGTTGATATCTCTGTCGTCGGTCTGCGATTGAAAACACCTGCACTAGAAGGTGTTTTTGATCCATCTGAGAACCAACAACTATCTGCTCTTAATAGTTCCTTTTCCCGGAGGATCGAGTCCTCTCTTCTCGGGAACAGTACTTTATGAGGAAGTTCGTAGTTGAGAATGGGAGGCATCAAGTCGGAGGACATTCCCAGAATGCTGTGACTTCCAGTATCAATCAGTAGTCTGTTACTCTGCATTATATTGACTTGTGCAATTGGCAATGTTTACAAGTCTATACGCAGTCCATCTAGCCCCTCTCCTTAGAAAAATGTGGAGAGGAGGTAGATCTAGAAGGATTTTCATGTCGTTCGCTGATGGTGTGGTACTGATGGCACCACTGATGGCCAGACAAGCATATCTCCGTAAGTCAGAGAGCTTCGCCTGAGCCGTTTTCTGTGAAGCCTTGGCCATCAGGCAATTACTCCAACAGTGATCATTGGTCTGACAATCATCACATAAATCCAATGGATATGTTTGGGACCTAAACCCCAAGTTTTGCCACAAATCCTTCGACATTTCCATAGGGACAGCCTGGCTGGAGCACCATCATTTACCACAGTGAAATTTTGGGCAGGTGAATTTGAACGTGGCCGTAAGAGTTTGTGAGACGATGAACATACGTTCGGATGTCCAAAAATTTCTTGAATATTTGAATGAATATTTTCAACGCTCTGTTGGCGTAGTTTAGGCGCAATAAATGCGAGTTTTGATACCAGTTAAAAACTTGGATACACAAATATACGCCCGAGAATAATACACTTCAAACCGTGAACTGCAAAGAACGAACCGGCCCCCAAAAAGCAAAACCTGTTTTATCGGCTGGTAAATGATAGCAACTGCTTTTTCGGATAGTCGTGGAGTCATTTCAATTGATTATATTCTAAGAAGAAAAACCATCACAGGAGAATAGTACGCATTATTACTCGACAAGCTGAAGGCAGTGCTTGTGGAAAAATGGCCACATTCGCAGAAAAAGAATCCTGTTTTACCAAGACAACGCACCGTCTCATACCTCAGTGGTTACAATGGCGAAAATTCACGAAGTAAGGTTTGGCTGCTTGGCCATCCACTTCACACACTAGATCTAGCCCCAAGCGACTTCTTTTTGTTTCCTCATCTAGGAATTGCGCTCGGAGGACAGAGATTTTCGTCGAATGAAGAGGCAATCGCCTTCTTGAACAATTATTTCGCAGATAACAACGCCGGGTACTATTTGGACGGGTTACAGAGATGTAAGCAACGCTAGGAGAAGTGTGGAATTAAAAGAAGACCATGTCGAAGAATAGAAAAATATCTGGAAAAAATGTCTCGTATCTTTGTTAGGTCGGAAACTTTTCAAATCACCCTCGTACTTTGTCTAATTATTTCAAGTATTGGTGGACTTATTTTCAATCCAGAAGCCAGCTACATTCAAATGTACATGAACTCCTCAAATATTTCATGATGTCGCTCTTATGAAGGAAAAAATACTTACATTGTAAAAGAGTCATGATGAGCAAAAAAATCACTCCCGAAAATACTGAGAATCCTATGCGACCGTAGATCAAACAACACAAAACAGCGACCTCTATGAAATGGATCCACATTTCATTGATGTAAACAACAGCCTGTTCGAAAACAAATACATCTTTACTGATGAGAGTAACGACTTTTCCCATGGCCCCTTCTGACAATTGGTCAGATCCTACATTCAGAGTCTTTCTATATAACATGGCTGTCAGAGCTGTCCTCATCTTGATTCCCTCTTCTATAACGAATTGAGTATAGTTGGTGGTGTACAGTGCATTAGCAAAGTTGATGAAAATCAGCAAAACTGCGTAAAGATACATTTCTGTCTTCGATATGCTTGATTGTCCCAATTGAAAGTAAGCGATGAATTTGCTCATTGCTCTTGGCTGGACAAGCCTGGAAAAATCAAATCAATGGAAGCATACATGTCATATATGACCAACGTCGAATATAATAGGGCCCTACTATTTTTCTACGATGACTCGATCAAATTTACTCTCAGGCGAGTGTCCCGCTGTAGTTCTTTGTGACTTGAGCAGGGCTTTTGACTATGTTAATCATACCAAGCTATTAGATATTCTGGATCGTTATGGAATGAGAGGAAATTCACATTCATGGGTTTACTATTTTCTCAACAACTGAATGCAGTGTGATGCAGGTGATGTTTATTCGTCTTCAAAACCAGAAATGAGGTCGTTCCACTTGGTAGTACCCCAGGGATCTATACTTGGGATACTTATTTCTGTTATATATCAATGATATAGACAGGAAAATACCATATTCAGCAGTAACTGCTTATGCAGATGATATTAGAATTAACACGAAAATGTAAATATACTCTGGATTTAGTTTCAAACTATTTCAATAGTCACGACCTGTTTTTCAATGTAAAAAAAACTCAGTTAATCCGCTTTCACAACTACCAAAATAAAACCGATGATATCCAGGTGACTGGGTGAGAAACACCCATGATGCTGTCAAATTCTTAGGCATTCAAATGGATGAGAGTCTTTTTTGGAATGAGCACTATGATCAACTAGTTTCAAAATTGAGCTCTATAACCTATCTTTTCATTGACTTGAGAAATGTTCTCAACATAAACCAACTTATGGCTGTTTATCATGGCCAGATCGAATCGAGGTTGCGCTATGGTGTATGTCTGTGGAGCAACTCTGCAAAGAGTAATGTTCCTCGACAGTATTCATGCAGAAACATTTTCGTTACACACGAAATTTTAACTCTGGTTGGATCATATATTCATGAGTTGTCAGTTTATGTTTTCACTAACAGGAATGACTTCATTCTCGATAGCGATATTCATGATAAAAACACTCGGCAGAAGCAAATCATACACGTTAGACTCAAAGTGCACCAAAACGTATAGGACCTAGAAATTACAACTGTTTACCAAATTAATTGAAGTCAATCTGCAGCCTTTCGTTGTTTGAAAAAATTGAAGTCATTTCTGCTAGAAAGATGTTTTTATACTCTTTAAGAGTTTTCAAATACAAAAATGTGATTTGCTACTCTGTGTATTTTCCTTGTCCATTCTTGTATATATATGTTTTTGTTTTGTCCTTTTATGTATATAATGACTATATCCTATACATTTTTCGGTCAATTTAAGGAAATAAATAATTTGAAATGACTATTTTTATATTAAGATTGGATTATACAGTGTGACCCATTTTTAATGGAAACACCGACATAAAATTTGAAGTTGTAAACCGATTTTAATAATTTTTTTGAAATGTCAAGTACAGAAAGGTCTACCTTGGGACAAAATTTGAATTGTTCATTACAGTTTCAGGGCATACTACGATATTTTTTCTTAGTCGAAAATCGGGATTTTTTATTAGCGATTTTTTTATTGAAAAAATCACTACGCCACTGGATTCAGAGTGCCTCTAAACAGGTGTGACCAAAATTTCATGAAAAAATATTCATTATTAACAAAGTTATGA